GCTATGAAACGCCCCTAAACACCGTTATGGGCTTGACTTCTCTTGCTTATCCACTATCTCGCTGGAGAGACGCAGAGTGCCGCGCCGCGTGGCCCCCCCCCCCAACTCACTTAGCACCAATCCCTCTAATCTGGAATGAAGTCATTCCTTAGTTTATTGTCATCCTTGTTTTATAAGCATAGTCATGTGCGATGCCGGTGTTAACTTGTTAAGTTTTGTCAAAAGTTACGGCTTTGGCGAATCGTTGATTTCGTCACAATGCATAACATATGTATCGATTGCGCGGTTGTCAGGACATTACCCGTTTGCGGCTATTCAACTTTGTAGCTTTTCGCATGCGATTTCATCATTCAGCGGCAGTGACTGGATGTGTATTGTCTGCTTCTTCCGAGTCGCGGCTCTGAACGCGCTGCTATACTTGGCGCTGACTATGAACACACTTGCTTTTTCTCTCTTTTGTTTACCTTCCACATATTCGTATAAAGAAAATAATAGAAAATGTCCAAAGGATTGAGATTCGCTGTGAAGAGGAACTCCGTATCGATCGGCATTAGGGCTCTAGGGCATTAGGGCATTAGGGCAGTGGTGCAAATCTATTCAATTTTGGACGGTGGTGCAAATCTATTCATTTTTGGACCCTACAGTTCCCGATTCTCCAATGCATCGCCGACAATGAACCGCCCCTGGAGACCGTCTGGTACTTAAGAGAGAGCTCATAAGATGGGGAAATATGGAATATGATGTCGTTACCTGCACTTAATACGTACGGATTCGCGGTTACGAGAATGAGAAGGTGCAGAATTCACCGTCTGGCTGACACATGTCTAGTTTTGGTAGTGTATTCCACGTTTTTCTTGCTGTAATGATTCGCTACGACAAAATCTGAGGAGGAACTGAAAGTTCTAACTTTCCCCGGTACTCGCACCTTCCGCCTTTGTGGGGTGCCAGGTTCAGCCAAACGGTTCCGTATCGCTGAGTATAAAAGTGAGATAGCGGTTCGAGTTGCCGATCGCCTTCGCGGCCGTTTGAGCATTTGAATGTTGACTTTTAAACCCTCACTTTTCAGGCTGAGCTTGACTTTATTGGTTACTCCGAAAAAATCCGCTTACGACTATGGATGTAACAGCTGAGTATATCAAGGCGCAGGTATGCATTAAAACCTTCAAATGTTTTTACCCGTAACCTTTCTATTCGAATTGCCTTACTGTAGTCAAATTATCTACAGTACCTCACTTGAAGGCTATTTGGAAAATTTTTAGTAGCAGGGTTGTTGAGGGCAACAGACTGAGTTACTGGTTTTTTGTTTTTTTTTTGGGAACTGGAGGTACGAATATGATCGCTTTCACCGGGGCTCGTAGAAAGATTCGACGTCATAAAGAACAAAGTGGAATATAAAGTCGGGTTTCTCTCTACCAACTATTAATAAGGGTTTCCTCCCGAACACAAACAATCTCTATTCATTGTAGTTGGGCTGTGGAGTAATACGTCACGACTTAACTGTGAAACCGTTGGTTGACAGGGAACAGTCATTTTAGAACGTAACTATCCAACCAATTTTTATCCAAATATGCGGCTTACTTTAGTGCGCTGTCTAATAGCTATAGCGATATTATACAGTAAACGCTAAGTTTTATGCACTCTGAAGTTCCCAAGCTAGAATCAATACAGACTGGTCAACATTGTTGAGAATACTTTTTCAGCTACGTATGACAACATATGCATTTACTTGTAACTGCCCTCTCACTAATTGATCAATTTCAGATGAGAATAGCCACTGCTCGGAATCTCTTTCAATTGGGCTTCGTTGGATCCAGTATGTCCTGTGTAGACGCTTTGACGGATATTACCAGCCTTTATATGAGAAAAGTTGCTGATTGGGTGCAGAAATGTGCAGAGCATTGTGAGTTTTCTACAAATAGATTGTAGCCAATCTTGTTCTTAAATTTTGATATGCATTTTATCCTGTGAGAGAGCTGTTTTTTCCTATTACGAACAATACACAGCCATGACGTATTACTCCACAATGCAACTACAATGAATAGAGATTGTTTATGTTGGCAAAATATACTTCATATCTATTAATCCAGTTCAGAGACCCTATTAGTTCTGTAGGGCGGAAGTGAACTAACGCCAAGGTAAGCCTTAGAATAAGTTGAGAATTTGTATTCAGGATCGGTACACGCCCATAACAAAATCTTGGGGGACGCGCGATTCACGCGTGACCACATTAGAGCTTGAGATGAACCAAATGGAGTTTGCAGTAGTCCACGGCTTTACCATGAACTAGAGAAATTTGTTCACTATGACAATGAAGCCCCTATAAGAATAAGAAATGTTTCATAGTCAACAATTTAATTATCAAACGTTCAAAATAAGATTAACTTTAAATTTTTCGATCTTAATGAACACAGTCCTTCTGTAAGCGTGAATAGTTGGTCGTTTTTTTACCCATGTTACTTATAAGTTCTTATTTCTCCCATTATGATGGCAGGCATGATTTTATAGCACCTCTAGTCCGATGACCGTCCCATTATATGGACACGTGAATCAAACCACACACCAAAACCTGCCGTGGTCTTCCAAACGAGTCGATAGATCGTTACCAGACTCATCTATAAAGACTGACCTGCACATCGGTGGCACAGGTCGTGTAGACCGCATATGCGTTCAGATACAATACGTCTTTAAAGAAATCTGGGTATGGAAACATCTCTTGACGGGTTATTTACGTCAAAAAATATCATTCTTCAGTGATTCCTAACCATAAGCAAAAGGACGAGCAAAAATTTGACATGCTTGTTTTTATAGCGCAGGAAAACTCACTACTGTATAGCTCTATCTATAACTGAATATTGCAGGCGGACGTGATCAGCCGTCTATTAATGACGTTAAAACTGCATACAGGATAATGAAAATAAGCGAACGTGAGCTTTATGAATATTTGAGGCAAGTTCGATCGCTAGAGGAATATGATTCGGTGAGAATTTCCCACTTTATTACCTCTCAAGAACACCTTTTTCTCTTACAATTAGTCAATTCAATTACAAACTTACTTTTAGTTTTTCGCTTTTGTTTTCTGGAAATCTGTATAGAAGTCCCCACAGTAAGAAAGCCTACAGAGATCACTCTTGAACAACCGGCAATGCCGAAAGCAGTGCAGCCTAATCAGTCTGAAGTATCAAACGGTTCAGATCAACAGCTGGGTGGTCAGAAAATCAGTCTCAAAACAAGCGTCGTGAACTGAACGTGCTAGTCAAGCAATTGGGGAATGCTTCTAGCTCTCAGTTAAGAAGAGGCATATAGCTTCTGCAGTGGATATGGGCAAAGTTTCAAAATTGGCCAATCGCAACTTTTATGTGAGAATTAAGTGAGTCGAGCCCAATAATGGCGTGGGCATCGGACCTAGCCCTGCGACACATGCAACCCTTTCTGTCTTTTTGCTTGGACCCTAAAGTACGGCCGAAAATCTTCCTAGTATAGTCGCCGCTCCTTCGAGAATGTTAATGAGCAGAGATTATGACATACGTGAAGAGGAATTATTGAAATGGGCGAATATTTCTAGCTCAATGAATTGAACTACACGGATTGATGGTTTTATTCGTGTGCCCTATCGTCCACATTAATGATGTTCTCTAAGAGAACCCCGAATGAACGTAGAAATGTTCAGGCACCCAAGTTTCCTGTGAAAACCCTGAAGCCTAATTACTCCGTTAACATAAAAGTTCCCGATGTGGAACTTGACCCGTCAGACGTGGAGGAAGAAAGCCACTGCAGCGGAGAAACAACAACATCAGGCCTGTGAGCATTTCGTTTTTAATCTTGATGTTGTTTCAGAATATCCTCACGAGGGAATCATTGATTTAGGAAACCATTACCTGATTTTTCGGAGGCAACTGCTTATTCGTTAGGGTTTGTAAAAACCACTACATTGCCTTCCGATACCCACCTGCGGACCGACATTGAGGTATATTGAGTTTGAAAATATCGGGCTTTCTCATGTTCCATGCGGTTTTGATTACAACTTTATTACCCTGTTTCAAATCAAACAGCTTACTCCGGATTCTTCTCCTACGGCTCACGCTCATACGGAAACGGACAATACGCAACACCACCCCAAAGAATTCGAAGAGAGCATCGTAGCGGTTGAGGATACTTCGAATGCAGGTAGCCATCGTTCTTCATATCTATGCTGTTGAAGGAATCGATCAGCTCACTACGTAGCCTTTTTACCCTTTTATGTAATTTTTCCTTTAAACATTGTTATCAAATGATTCTCTGGATTTTTTATATCATCACAGATTGGATACCGTTCTCTACTGCTCTTAATGTGCTCGAGCGCCTTCCTAAAACAGAATCACGAATTTTCATACGATTTCCTTCAGATCATCCTGAACAAGTCCATGAAAAACTGGACGTTCCGGGGGCTGGTACGAAACAGAAACGAAAAAGGAATAAGGTATTTTAACGGCTATTTTAAATAATGTTTTTCAACAACTAATACATTAAGTGATTGTGCTCAAAATAGCCCTCTTGTACCTGCTAATTATTTAGGTTACCGCAAAAAGCCGCCGCCCGAGAAAGCCATCGGCCAGTCATAGCGCTGTTAAGTTACCTGAGGCGGCTAAAAAAGTTGACTCCGTTGAGCAATGGGAAGAGAAGTCCGACAGTAAAACGGAACATAGCAGCACGCGGGAAAACGAAAATGATTCTGCCTCAGTGCCTCATATTGCTGAGAAACTCGGAGATCAGTCCTCGGAAAAGGCTCAAGATCAACGAAAAGTACCACCAATTCGAATCAGATTCTCGACTCACGGGCCCTACATTGTGGACGAAGCCTGTTCAAACCAAAATCTTGCCGTGCTAGTACGCAGAAGTCAACTTATGGCTCTCTTGCCACAGAATCATAAGGCAAAAATAGATGTCGAAACTAGAAGAGGCAAAGCGTCCAACAAAAACGTTTTACCGGAACCGCATGAGACCCAGCGCACTACTAGAAGCGCTACCAAGAAGCAAGAGGTCAGTTTCAAATAACCTACTCGTTGCGAAAATTTTTGAAGGTGATTGTGCTATGTATGGTTTAGAGTGCTCGTTGCAAAAAAGCAGTTCCATCGTTCCCCTACCTTGCATCGGATTTGATGAGAAGTTTGTGACCACGATTTCTTTGATCGGGGTTTTTATTCGATGCGTCATGCCAAATTTATTGTACACCGTATTTAGATTCTTATGCTGTGCTGACAGCTTGCATGTCGGGTCGAGCGTTTCCTACATTATCCGATTCAACAGAAGCGCCACAAGATTCAGAAATTCATGTCGATGACTCTTCCTCAGAAAATGTGGTTGATGAGGTTATTTGGAGAGGCCTCTTCGGCCAGCATGGCATTATTACGATGAGGAACGAAGAGGTGAGTTACGTAAGCGTTAGAAGTCACCCACAGCAATGTAGCCTCTGTAAAGGTTATAAGCAGGTTCCACCGTTAGGCAGAAAGTAAACGTTCACACATGGACTGGGTTAGACAAGCGAAAATAACAAGACAAAGTGTCAGGACGATTGTCAATATTGAGGGGGCAAGGGAGGGTGGGGGTCTGTCGAGAAGAGAACGCTGTCTCCGGCAGCTCCCGCCAAACGTCTCTCTCTCGTTGTGTCAGCTGGAGAGCTTAGTCCTGAAAGGTTGTGAAGGTTGTGTATGGTGTGGGGAGGTTTTACACTATTCTTGCGTTAAACTAGACAACATCAGATACAGAATCGCCCAAACCTCCCAAGCTGCAACAATTTCATCCCGGGTTCAAGGTAAAAGAAGAACTCTCTGGAATGAGATATTACTCGCTTGTACAACACGAGACCGTTCTACAAGAAGCGAGACCATACTTGCGCGAGCTAGAGACCAATAGCACAGCGTGTGTGTGTGTGTGTGTGTGTGTGTNNNAGTTCGATTTTGTGGCAGGACTGGGATGTGCCCACAGGGGCGGGGCGTGCGCAAACTAGTGTCTCATGGGAGATTCATTAACTCCTATTGTCGTGGACCCAGAGCGTTCGAAGTTGGTAGGGGTTAAGACAGCAAGATGGGAACACTGATTATGGGTAACATGACTAGCTTCCCCCACAGGAGGCGAGGCTTGCTTAAAATTGCTAAATTTTACATGGGGCTCCAAATTAAGTAGGAGTACGGACAGCATTATCGTATTTCAGATTGCATGACCATACTCCACCCACAGGGGCGGGACGTGTGCGAAAATCGTAGATTTTCACTTTGGGCGTACAAATTTGGTAGAGGTGCCTGCGGCAGTATAGGAATGCAGATGGCAGGTGGCAATACTGGGGTCGAGCGTGCGTGAAAATTGTAGATGGAATTTATTAGGAGTACAGGCAGCAGGATCAAGACACCGATGGTGTGGGGTAGAAAGTAATGTGTTTAAGGGTTTGGTTAATTGGTGCCAGATTCAGGTGCTCCACCAAACAGATGAGTCCGCCCGTGACAGAGAGGATCCCGATGCTACCAGTAGCGAATTTTCGAGCGACGAAGGTGAGCGCCATTGTATACGAGTCTTCGAGGCTTTTTTGGATTAGGTTAACTAAACTAAGTCGAGCCAGCAATTCTGAGTGCAAGTCTCCAGTGCTCGTAGTTACTTCATGTGCGTCTTTCAGATGTAGATCTTCGTAGTTTTAAAAGCACGTCTCGTATGGTCAGCGTCTCCTATACATGGTTACTTCGCTTGCGACCATCACAAAACCTTCAGCTCCATTCTATGACCCTCAACTGTTTCAGATGAGCTAATTGAAGCGAAATGAAGCATCAGCATAGCTGGCGTCCCGCACCAATGAGTCAAATACTGCTTATAGATTAGACTGCAGCGGCAGAGTTGGCTAGCATCGTCGAAAATATTTATTTTTTCACCGATCATAAGTGAACCACTCTTTTATTTTCGGTTTGAAAAGAGTTCAGAGGCACATCAGCGTATGCACAACCACCTCAGGAGGTCCAGGATTTTTGAAAATGTTCGCCAGCTTATGAACTTCCCTCAGCTTCAAGCCTATTTTATCAACATGACATTACACATTTGAGCCAATATATTTCATGCACTATTTTGACTTCCCACGGCCCCTTCACCTGCACAGGTAGCTCCTCTGCTTAAAATCCGAAAGCGCCATTACACACTCCGAAACTCCGTTTTTTGTTATATTGCACAAAGACCACACAAAAAAGTTGAGGAGAATAGAGCTGAAAAAAAAGCTGCCTGCAAAAAAGTTTTCGTAACCGACAAACGCAGAACAAACTCAACGTTCACTTACATTACGTCATGTAGTAGTCGAACGGAAATGCTTACAAACGCAGTGCGGGCACATAAACCCATCGATTGCCATAATTAGTGCATTTCTAGATTTAGATTTAGATTTATTGCATGCGCATAAGCACATGGAGGTAGCAAGTACCAAATAATGGACTGCGTTAGAACAAACTAAACAACAAACATGAGAATTTCACAAACATATGGAAATTCCAAAGCGAACAAAGAATGAATTAGTAGTTTAATAATAAAAATAAAAGAAACTGCATATTAGGTGACCAACCTTCCAA